GTTTGTTGTTGACGTTCAGTGCAGATCACCTTTCAACACTCAAATTGTGTCGTTTTCCTTTGCCAGGGATGTATCACATAGCGAAGCAATTCCAATATCACATCGATTTTCATTATCTTATTTTACGTCGAAAAGTAATGGTTGACTAAAATGAATGGAATTCCTAGAAGTCTCATTGTATTCGACGATTAGGTTGAGCACACTTGTTATGGAATTAGTTAGTGACAACGTTTTCGATTTGTTGCGTGCAGAAAACAATACGGTCAATGATTGAGACATTTTTAGAAGACTTTCTCATTTGCATATTTTGGAGATGTTTTCAGAAGTAATCCAACAGTGAAGTTCGCCGATTTTGACAAAACTTGTGATCGAAACGAACAGCAGTGAAATGCAGTCGTTTGCCAGATCGATGCATTCCAGACGTTTTACATGTATCCTCTATATGTACGGTATTTTAATGTGTTATTGCCTTTCTGCTGTTCACATCCGCGTGTACGTTTTTACCCATGGGTAAATCCTTTTGTTCGTTTCGCTTTCTTTTTCACATTCTTATTGCGTTTTCTTCATTATTTTCTCTGAACGAGTCGCTGTTGACCGCAGCAAATTACCCTCAAAATGTAGCATTGTTTGCGCCTTACAAACTGACATGCAAAATTATATAATGTCATAGTTTACCATGCCCAAATTTGAATTGGCTCACCAACTTTATATTCAAAGTAAAGATGCAAAACTATTCATTGGCTGTTACCCACAATTCGACTTTCTTCAATGGACTGTTTGCAATTCGGAAAGCCAAAACGCATCTTTCATAGTAGATTCCTTGAAGTTTGTTTCCAACAATGTTTTGGAAAAATGCGTTTTTAATTCATTTTATTTTACATCTTGACAAGAAAATGGTCAATAAGTAGTACAGATTGGGAGGTTTGATCGCCTGGGACGGATTCTGATCATTTATTTCAAGTCGCGAAATCATTCAGATGAGTACTGATAGTGAAATATCTTGTGTATGATTCGTTCAGAGAAGTTGAGCTCAGGCATCGACAATCGAATTGATGTTTTGTTGGAGTTTCTTCGTTTTTTTAATTTGTGTGATTATTGCATGTTCAGCGCGCTA